GCAAGTCGTTGTACTTGACGTTCCATTCTTCATGATTGTTTTAGCAGCTGTTGGTGCTATGCTCACCGTATCCCGGGTTAAGGGCAACGGTGTCGATTGCCGTTTGCCCCTTTGTGGTTCCACAAAGTCAACTCTGGTGCCTTGCGTGCGATCCGCTGCCGGTCTTTCTTGTGAGGTAGAATTTCTCAAGATTGCATCCAATTTCGTCTGTATTGCACATGAACTTTCGGCCTGATTCTTGCTCATTGTGTCCATTCTCTTTTCCAGGCTACCTAATTGGCTGTTGACATCATCATATCGGTTTTTCAACTGTTGCATATCTTTTTTGATGTTCTTATCTCGTTCTTCATTGGTGGTTTCTACCTTATCTGACATCTCCTTGAGTCTCTCATCTGCTGCCTTAGCCAGGTTAAAATAACTATCCAGATACTCGTGTTTGTTGTATTTTAATTCTTTTCTTATCACTTCTCTGTCCTCTTCGCTGTGCTTCAGTTTTTTGTCGATCTGATTCAGTTTCGCCATCAAGTCAACTAGCTCAATAGTAGCCTCTTCATGGTCAGCCGTCGGTCTGTCTTCGGCCGTAGCTTCTGCTTTATTTTGTTCCTCTCTTGGATTGGCTTCTGTCGTCTTCGTGCTCACTGTCCCAAATGTTCGTGCTCTTTCAGCTTTTGGTTCTTCAGTCATGTTTTCTTTCGTTTTTATTCCGACCATCATCGCCAACCTTTTTGTAAAAGATGTCTTTTTTACTTGAGAGTCTTCTTTCACCGTTTCTTCGGTGTTGCCTATTGCATCTTCCACATTGTCTATTGGTGAGAACTCTATGGGTTTCGGGTTTGGTTCTTCTGCATTGGGCATTGGAGTTGACTCCGTCGTCTTTTTCTCCAGTTCATCTACGCTCTGGTCTGGTGTCTCTAGGTCGATTTCGATTGTAGGCTCCACCTGTTTTTCCCTCGCATCTTCTCGCGTCTTGCTCTCGGTGCCACTCCTCGTACTGACCATGCTAACTGAAAAGTTATTTTTTGTTTTGCTTGGGCCCCTTGATGTCGTTCCACGCAGCGACGAGTTATATTTCGTGTTTGATCCACTTGACCTTTTTTCAAGCACCGGTACCCTACTCCGTCTCATTATTTCTATTTACAATTGCTCTTATTTACAATATTATTATATACACAATTCTATTCTAAGAATAAAAAAAATTTTGTGGAAACAAATTCTTAAAAGAAAATATACAACGTGATAAAAACCTTGTTCCAGTTCTCTAAAATCTTCGAGTAACTTTCTTTATTTGTGGTCCCAACCGTACCGGGTTCCAATTAGTCTTGTTCTGTCTTAATTCTGTCTTAAAACAACTTGTTGTAATTTTACTTCAGTTTTTATACTGTCCTAAGACTTCCAGTTACCGTCCCTACTCTTCTTTGTATCGTCCCAGGCTTCTTTCTACTGTCCCAAGACTGTTCGGTATTGTCCCAGTACTTCGTCAGTGTCCCAAGACCCTTGTCCTGAGAGTACTATCCCAAGGCTACTGTCCCAAGGCTAGTGTCCCAAGACCAGTGTCCCATGACTGCTGTCCCAAGGCTAGTGTCCCAAGACCAGTGTCCCAAGACTACTGTCCCAAGGCTAGTGTCCCAAGACTACTGTCCCAAGGCTAGTGTCCCAAGGCTAGTGTCCCAAGACTACTGTCCCAAGGCTAGTGTCCCAAGACTACTGTCCCAAGGCTAGTGTCCCAAGGCTAGTGTCCCAAGACTACTGTCCCAAGGCTAGTGTCCCAAGACTACTGTCCCAAGACTACTATCCCAAGGCTAGTGTCCCAAGACTACTGTCCCAAGACCACTGTCCCAAGACCCTTGTCCCAAGACCCTGTCCCAAGACCCTTGTCCCAAGACCACTGTCCCAAGACCACTGTCCCAAGACCCTTGTCCCAAGACCCTGTCCCAAGACCCTTGTCCCAAGACCACTGTCCCAAGACCACTGTCCCAAGACCCTGTCCCAAGACCCTTGTCCCAAGACCACTGTCCCAAGACCACTGTCCCAAGGCCACTGTCCCAAGACCCTGTCCCAAGACCCTTGTCCCAAGACCACTGTCCCAAGACCACTGTTCCAAGACCCTGTCCCAAGACCCTTGTCCCAAGACCACTGTCCCAAGACCACTGTCCCAAGACCACTGTCCCAAGACCACTGTCCCAAGACCACTGTCCCAAGACCACTGTCCCAAGACCACTGTCCCAAGACCAATGTCCCAAGACTGTATCAAGTTTGTTCTGGTCCAACACTGTCCCAGGACTTCTTTGGCACTGTCCCAAGACTGTTGACAAGTGTCTGAGCGGTGGGACCTCTTTCTTCTTCGTTATGGGGACTTCTTGATTCACTGTACCTTGTACCACCACTCAAGCTCTAGTAAAATTTTCCCAAAAACCCTCTCTTAAAAGCCAAATGCTGACTCCCCTTTTTCTTATTTCCTTTTAATTACCTCTCTTTCAATGTTCCAAGCAACTTGAGACCAAAACCTGTGCGCAGGTATCTTGTGATCACCTGTTCGTATAAAAACTAAACACAAATCCTCACCAAAATGCAACAAAAATCCAAGCTAGAAAAAGTAATAAAAACGGAAAGATGAGCCCACTTAAAATTCAAAGGTGACATATGTCTACCTTCTATCGAAAAAATGTCTGGTACCTAATTGCCACGCGTTTCCTTCCCCCCTGCTAGCGATCTTATGGGGTATCACAAAAACTGTCTATGTCCGTTCCCCCCTACCGATCCGACCAGGGTACCTACCTTAACCTAATTCCAATTTTGGATATCCGCTTCCTATGACCAACGCGTGTAAATGACTAATGTAACTAAATCAACGATGTCGACTAATTAGTTACTCTAATTTCCCCCCTTTTTACAATTTACAACCGCCAACCTCTAACTTAACCAGCCCCCCTTCTAACCTCCCCCCTTTTTAGCCCCCCTTCTTAAACCTAAAATTACCTTAAGCGCCGGGTGCTAAACCTCTCAAAAGAAAACCGTAGACCTGTCTCCAGGCCTGCTCAAGTAAAAACGTTTCTCAAAACCGGGGGATATCGCTTATCCAATTTTACACGTATTTCCTATAATGTAATGTGAATTTTAACGATACCCGTTCTGCCCAACTTGAGAACTCGAGAACTGCCAAATCCTTCTTGGCTACTTTCCCACTCGACTGGTCAACTCTTTCAGTCCAGTCTCCTATTGGTTCAGCTCAAGTACTCCTGAACCACTTTCCCACTCGGCTGGTCACCTCTTCCAGTCAAGTCTCCTATTGGTTCAGCTCAAGTGCTCCTGAACCACTTTCCCACTCGGCTGGTCACCTCTTCCAGTCAAGTCTCCTATTGGTTCAGCTAAGTTCCAAGCTATCTGAAAACCCTTGACAACGCCCCACACTCGGGCTCTTTATTAAGGTTACTGGGTTAAATTACTAGGTTGATCGAAACGATCGAGCTTGTAAAACAGTATGGGTATACTATTTAATTAATATAAAGGTTTGATCCAACTAATCTGGTGTCAAAGTCACTGTCTTTTTTCGTTGTATGGTTTTTTTTCCTTTTTCTAGTCTTTTTTTGTTTTTGTTTTGCTTTTTGTCTTTTTGCTCGTGTTTTTGTCCCCCTAGTTGCCCCCCTTTACTCGGTTAGCTAAGCCTCGTTCGGAGAGCGTACCAGGAAGTTTTCTCGAGTTTTCTTAAAAAGCTATCACGGTACAACCGGAAGGTTTGCACGTTCCTGTCGAACCGCACCGCCGGTACTCTAGAATGGGCATTCAGCCCGAAGCTGTCTCAAGTGGGTTCGACTCCGTAGTCTTGATGTCGTAAACACCCAGGAGCGCCATAAAAACACTATGTAACATTCGTCTACTGCAGTCACACATGAGGCTTAAGAAAAATAGGCCCTGTAACTATTGGCTCAAGAGTCAGGGACACTATCTCTTGTGTTTTTCTACCTCAAATCAGTCGGAGCCAATTCGGTTCGTTTGTGACATGAGACTACGACCCGTTACAGCTTAAAGGCTACTACTAAAATATCCCCCCACTCTAGAATTAAGAACGTCCTCATACTTAGGTCTCTAGATACCCAAAATACATGAACGCCGTTAAAAACCGGGTTGGAACAATCCGTTAAGTTATTTTTTATTAGACAGTGGAACTTTGATCCATTTCAGATGGATCAACCTAAAACTCGCCTTACCTCAACATAACAATTATAAAACACACTCTAGAAATTTAAGTTAGTACTCACATTGTAGCACGCTCAAGAAAGGGAAGTACTTCAGTCGGTAATTAACTCGAGAATTAAATAATGTAACTAAAATGAGTTTAGTGTTTGTCAGTTTTAACAACAAGAACAAGTTTGTACTCTAGACTATAGTTTCTCGTGAACCATTGGGACACTCAAGTTGTCCACCTTTCCACCAAAGGTTCACTCTAGTCCAGTTTAGAATAATACTCCAGTCAAGTCACAATAATCCAGTTCGTGGGAATACGCTTCTTTCTGTTTCGAATGGGACAGCTCTACTCTAGATTATTACTGTGACGGAAATTGCGAATAGCAATTTCCTACTGATTTATCTTGCAACTTTCCCGCGATTGTCACTCGATTGTTCTGACTTCTCTTTTTTGACTTTCAGTTATCGCGAGAAAATCGTGCATGACAGGCTCCATTCGAGTTTTTGAAAAATTAAATTTCACTCCAAAATTAAGTGTTTTTTGCTTCTCTCAAGGTCAAACTTCCAAATATGACCGACTGGCACAAATCGTTACAACACGGAATGGTTCCTGACAAATTCCAATCACAGTTTCAATCTGTTGTTGTTTTCTCGTAGTTGTTTTCACTGCAACTATTGTTGTTCTGTTTCGCCGTTTCAGTGTGCGCGAAATATAAAAAGGTTACGTGTCGTTCACGTCGCATGACGGAAGGACCCATTTTAATTAGTTTTTTTTTTACTAAAGCGTTGGTTTCATTGTTTGTTTCCATTTCAGACTGAATGGAATTGTATGGAAGCGAAGTTCCCTTGATTCCTCCAAGTCCAAATTCAGATACCGAATGCGCAACTGAGATGGAATCGATCAAAAACGCTGATGAAAAACCAAATGATGTTAGTTTTTAGTAACAAAAGTGACTGATTTTGATCGCTAGTGTCTTAAGTGATTAATTTGCAACTTCGTTGTTTGAGCACAGGTGCTTATACGTTATTCGTTTTTGAATATTGTGTAATAAAAGGTTTGTTTCAGCCAATAATGCCAATAAAACCTACCGAAGAAATATGCGCACCAGGAGGAGCTGTAAATGAAGTACTAACTGGCTCACATTCGAGCGACTCTGAATCCGATTCCGGCAGTAGTGGCAGTAGCAGTGATGAGGACAGAGATAGCAGCAGTGGATCTTCCGGTTCATCTGAGGGCAGTAGTGAGTCATCTGAAAGTGACCAAGGCGAAAAAGCAGTTGAGCGAAGAAAACGAGAAAGACGTCATAAAGCAAAAAAGAGACATAAGTCACGGCGTCACAGGAGTCGACGTCGATCACATTCGAAGGTGAAAACAAAATCTTATATTTTGAATTTCGTATATTCAAATGTGACTATGGTAGTGTAATTCGGTCGTGTTAATTTTTTTCTTGGCGAAACATAAATAGACAGAACAATTGAAAAGCGCGCTCTTTTGAGAGTATTAAATGTCTCTTCGAGGTACCAATATTGTTCTGATTCAGTGGCATGATGATCTGTCCTGAGTCATGGCTCTCATGACTTGACATAATGACTGCAGACAACCTCTTGATTCGGTTCTAAGAGTTGAACTGAGTTACACTTGCAAGCTCCTCTTGAGCTTCGGGCGTTTTCGTCAGCTGTTATTTGGCCCACATTATTTTGGGCTGATTGGTTTGCTTCAACAGAAGCAAGCTTTTTGCCCGCTTCACTCCATGAAAGCAGTTCAAATCGTCGGGAGAGTACCGTACCCTTATCGGCTTTATTGAAAGCAACCTTTTTTGGACTACGGACTAAAGAGTCCCTTTGCAAAGGAACTTGGAATATGTGGGGAGGAGGGAGTTACAGAATATGAACTGCCTTAAAAAAGGTTGACAACAAATGGGACTCTCAGACTTTGGGCGGGCACCATGTGCCGCGTTTAACTGTTGTTTTCAGCCAATCTTAAGGTGAGTAAAAAGGTAGGTTTTGTTTTGACTTCTGACACTTGTTTTCACGGTTTATACTCCTCCTGAGCTATTTGTAATCCGAAATACGTACAAGTGATCGAACATAAAACATTTGCATCTCTTTCTTAGTTGTCTTGATGTTAGTTCCAACTCTTTTCCAGAACAGATTTTATTTAATGAAAAAAATTCAATGGAAAATGATAGTGAATGAAAACGGAGCTTGGCGAGAAATTGGGCGTTGATGGTTTCCATTCTAATTTTTTGAATATTTGTTTCCTTGTTAAAATAACATCTGCTCTGTAGTCGTATCAGTTAAACATACTTTGTTTGAGATATGGCCTGCACAATACATGACACAAAACTGCTGCAGAAAATCCTTCCCTTTTGCGTCAAATTATCACGATAATTTTTCACCTTTCAATACGACAGGAGAATTTAGGACGCAGTATTTAAAAGTTATTTTTGACTCCATTTGCTCATCAAGCTTGTCTTGCACCTAGCCTGCTGATAAAAATAATAGATTTTCAGAATGTACGTTTTTATAGTTTTCGTAACTGAAGGGGCGCTTTGATGGTAAACAGCCTAAATTACTAAATTATTCTACCAATGCTTTTGAGATCTGCTGGCCTTCTTTTTAGTTTTAGTGAGTTTATCTATCATTGCACTAGCATCATTAATTTGCATGATTGTATTGTTACTAACTGGACTCACTAACTTTAATGTTCTGCTTCTTTCTTGATGCATTGCTTCTTTCTATTTAATTCGTTCCACAGTTCTTTCGGTTTTTTGCAATTTACATATTTCTGTTCAATGAACAAATTCTTATACATATGAAAAAAAATATTCAACCTGCTGTCATAAAAAAGAGTCTCTCTTCTTATTAGGTTTAAATGAACGAAGTGATAACGCTTGCGATTAGCAAGCGGTATCAAATCGGAATGTAGACTTTTTTTGTGTTAACAATTAGTTTAACAAAGTCAGAATCAAATTTGAATTATCATGAAACTGAGCATGTCAGCTGCATGACATGCTCTATTTCACAAAAATTTAAATTTAGCTACTGGGTGGGTACTAGCAGGGTAATTTCAGAGAGAACTTGAAACTTTTTAATGTTTTTTTTTTTAAATTAGTTTTTTGTTTCGGCTCAACTGCTCTAAGATTGTCGGCCTTATTTTCACTTCGTAAGTTTTGTTCTGTTGCTAAACTGAATTTCAAATGTCTTGCTTGTCATGTTTGCCTAGAATTTCTGTTTGATATAATCAAGTATTATGAAAGTGTATTGAAATGTTTTATTTTATTTGATTTTTTGAGACGCTTTTGAATATTTTATCACTTCTGCAAAAAATGTTTCTCAAAAACCCTTCTATCGTTTTTCAAAGAAGGGGTATCCATAGAAGGAGCACCTACATTCTTGTGCGCCTTCATACTCCCCTGGTCTTTTTCTGCCTTACCATTTTGTCTACCGCCTTCGAAAAAGTCTGTCAGAATCAAATTTGAATAATCATGAAACTGAGCATGTCAGCTGCATGACATGCTCTATTTCACAAAAATTTAAATACTAGCAGGTTAAATTCTCAAGAACTAACCTACCAAATCTGAAACTTCATTGTCCGCTCAGAAGCGGCTTGCCTCAATTTTTACACAAAATTATGACCCTCGGAATTGTCAGTTTTTTTTGGTTTTTTTGACCCTTTTGAATCTTTCTCGAAAACTAAGCTCCCAAACCCGAGGTTGTGGGTTCAATGGAGATAACGGGTAGTGGGAAGCTTTCTTGCCTTATCGGCCACTCACAATTTTTCTACACAAAAAAATATGGCCCTCGGAAAAGTCAAAGTTTAGTTTTTTGACCGATTTTTGAAACTTCTTGACTTTTCTTGAGAAATACCCAATCAAACGTGCGTTTTTGGGTTCCATCGAAATTTCAGTTTGGGTGAATTTTTTCTGCATGAGCGGCTATGCCCATTTTTTAAAACAAAGCTATGATTCTCGGAAATTACAACATTCTGATTTGTTGACCGTTTTTTGGATTTTTCTCTCGATAACTACCTTGCCAAATCTGATATCATAGGTTTAATCGACGGAACAGGTTGTTTGAAAATTACCTGTATAACTTGTTACGGACATTTGCGTTCAGAACAAAAGTATGGCCTTCAAACAAGTCAAAGTTTTGAAAATTTGACGGTTTTTTGTTCTAATCGAAAATTACCGTGTCCATTCTCAATTCTCATATCAAACTCGCTCGTACATACAGTTTTAGCTGGGCCCTAGGTATACTTCATTGAGCTATACGAAACTTTTGGCTCACCTAGTTTTTCAACATATGTATTTAATGGTGGCCAGTATTTCCCCATTGTCAAGCGACCATGGTGCAAATGCGAGGAGACTCGTTATCCCTAGAGCGTAGGTTGTTGATGTAGCCTTTTTAACGACATAAGGTTCGTTCAGTTCGGTTTATGGAGGTTTCGTCTCGTCTGGTTTTCTAGTTTCTACTTGCCACGTGCAGATTCCGCTTTGTGTTTTTGATAATTCTGTCCGAAAGACAAAGGCAGATTTTGAAAAGGAAATTTTGGAGCTCGTAGACTGTTTATATTATATTAGGCATTTGGCCGTTTTCTAGCGACTAATGCTGCTTTTGACACACTTAGTTCTGGTTAAGTTTTTCATATCAGCCCAAAGACTTCTTCGATGAGTAGTGTGTTTTTGTTGTTAGATTTTGGTTTCTTCCAATTCATTTGCCAAAAAGACGGCAATTAACTAACGTTCTCCGAAAACAAACAGCCTGCTAGCGCGAAAATGTGAATGAATGAATTCTAGCTTTAAAGGGTTTTCGGTTTTTTAGATGTACCAGGAGACTAAAAGAAGTGACTATTCATGCAGTTTTCTAAAATTGGCTATCATCAAGACTTTTAAAAAATGAAATAGCGCTATAAGATGGAATATATTTTTTGTTTCCTACACAAGTAGAGACTATAACTTGGCAGGGTTATTCAGCTCAATGCAACCGCTTCTGGTATTACCGCATTTGCAGTGTTTAAGGTTAATTTGTTTATCAAAATTGCTGAACCATTGCTTTATGGTATATCAAGTTTGGGATAGCGAGATCGGCTTGAATTACGTCGTCCTTTTTTCTCAACAGTTTTATTCTTTTAATTTTTGTTGGTATTATAACGATTGAACTCCGAGAAATTTTTGCAAGTGAATCACCCTGTCTAAGCATAGTCCTTTTCTCTTATTTACCCACATTCCACACCGAATTATTTTGGTGAGCGAAGTTTTTTCTTTGGAATTCAAGGCCGTTTTTTTTGCGTCTGGGACTCCCTGGTGGTACCACTTTTGCAGCCGAAATCGGTCAGGCTGCGCTAGAACTGAATCCGGATTTAAGATTTTTTCGTTAAATCTGAAATAACATGTGGCCCGGAAGTCGAACAAAATAGGCGGTCTGCTGTCCATGTAAAAAAAACTTTCGTCTCAGCACAAAGTTTTCTCCTTGACAGAACAGCAATGCAGAATCGTTTTTTGGTCTGTTATCAGGCGGATGCATGATAAACTCACTCGTTCTTAGCTTCACAAATCGATGGAAAGCGATTGTATTATGGATTCCACTCTGCCCAAAAAGGTATAAGAATACGGTGTTGGTGATACTGCATTGTATCAACCACGCACGCTGCTTCTAGTAAGGAACAGGTTGATAAAAGACAGAAGCAAAGTGGTTGCTGAAGTACTCAGTGCCTATTCGTAAGTAAAACCTCTTTCAGCTGAGCTGTTCAGGTTTTTTGAATCTTTGGTAGGTATTTGCAAAGTTTTCTTTATGTTGCTTATCTTGTAAAACAGCAGAGCTTGTGTTACTAGTTGAATTTTTTTCCGACTGAAGTTGTATCTTTGTGTTCAATCTCAGTATCTAAGTACAGTTCAAATTTTTCAATGCCATTACTAGCATATGTTGTATCCGCTTTTTATACGGGCATTCAATTGTGCCAGGAATTTATTTAAAAAGTATGCGTGAAAGCATTAGCTATAGGATTTAAGTGCAGTGGTCGAATCTTTCGCTAGGGAGCGGCCAATTGAGTTCCGATCTCGGCGTGGAAAGTTTTATTTTTAATAGGTCGCTTTTCTGTTTATTTGCATGAATGAGCTCATTTGTTGCTTTTTTCTGTTTGTGTTTGCAAAGTGCCGCTTCGACTCTGTAATTAATTGCCTTATTTATTGAACAAGAAATCTGAAGAGAAAATGCAATTTTCGGAAAGCTCTTAAGCTGATTCTCATCTGATGTGTGATTTATGATTATGTTCAAGTCTGTTTCACGAGCTTGGCTTGATGGGGGACCAAGCTTTTTTAAGAAAAACCTTCAAAAAAAGAAAACTGGGTCCTTTTCTAGGCCAATGTAATGCAACTACAGCATAATTGGTTCACAGAAGTTAAAAGATACTAAGTGTATGGTTGAGCTTCCCTTATTAGAACAGTTATCTCATGGTTAGTCGACAAAATTTAATTAAATTCAAAAACAAAAATGGGGTGTATTCTCATGATCGAGGGGTCAAATGATGGAAAATTTTTAACCAATAAGAATCTTTTGGCGTTCCTATTGCCTGAATGACTTTTGCTCAAAACCGAAGTCATTAATAACAGAAAATGACTCATAGCAGCACAGCAGCATCGTTATTCAATTTGAGCAGATATTCATTAACTTTTTTATTTTATTTTTTAAGAGTCGATGGATTTAGTTCAGACTCTTGCATAGGTCGAAATGATTTTTTTCAGGAAACGTCTCAAAATGCTCTTATAAAAAAAGAAGTGCATTCATACTTATAAATTCACATATGAATACCCTTAGGTATATATGCACTTTTTGAGTTGAATTCAATTTCATTTGAAGTCAAAATGCACTCTATAATTATAAAAGCAAAAAAAAACGTGATCGTTTTCTAGTTTCGGAAGTGTAATTTAGTTTTTAGATTTCCCAGCGGAATAAACACCTTTCTTTAATCCAATTTTTTCAAGTTGGGTTAATTTAATCAATCAAGTGCCCAGTATAAATTGCTCTTGAAATTCAAAGGGCTTTGATATACATTTTCTTGCGTGAAATTCGAAAGTTTTTTTTTCTTTGCGTTCATTGACTCTTTTCCAACTGTCTGTTGACTGTTCATTTTTTTCTAAATTGGTTTCAGGTTTTTTTCCAATACCCGCCTTTGATTTTGCAATATTTGAAAGTTCATGTATCTTCTCATTTTCTAATCAATCAATATTGATTTGAAAGGCGTGGATTTGTTCACCTTCTTTGCGATTTGCGTAATTTCTTTGATATGTTTGATTACTCGATGCTGATTGGCTGAAAATAAATTCTCGAATTTAAATTCCCGGTTTTTTGTCCCTTCATCTTAAATTCTCGAATTTTTCCCTCCCTCCATCATCAGCAGCGCCACCAACAAAAATGTCGAAATTAATCGCAAAATCTGATTCAAGCGCACAAGAAGACTTGCCATTGCCGCCTTTGATTTTAGCGTTCTGAATTGCTAATTCTTTTCAGTCTTCTAAATGGTCGGAATGCTCAACGACTTAGCGCCGTCTTGATTTGTGCAAAAATGTTTTGAATTTTTTTTCCGCAGCTTAAAAATTTTAAAGCTTAAAACATAGTTAACTTCAAACGCGGCATTGGCAAGAAGCGACTACTTGCTCAGCTGTGCTTCCACTCTGCTCGAAAGGAAAAGCTAGCTTCAAATGCAAGAAGCGATTGCTTGCTCAGCTTTGCTTATAATCGGCTCGAGAGCAATGGTGAGCGTGAGTCAGTGTTTGCCGCTAAACTAATCTGTTTTGCTTAGAGTTTTGTTGACAAGGGAAGCTCAACCCCAGATTACGCGTATTTTTTTTTTACTTCAGTGAATCAATTATGCAGACTCAAAACAACTCAGTCCGAACGCTAACTTCCAATGCGGCATTGGCAAGTAGAATACTTTTGCTCCGCTGCGCTTACATCCGGCACGAGAGACGAGAGAAATACTGCGCGTGAATCAGTGTTTGCCGTTAAACTAGTCTGTTTTGCTAAGTAATTTGTTGACAAACCGTGAGATAATTGTCTAATTAGGGAAGCTCAACCCAAGATTACGCGCCATTTGACTTCAGTCAGTCAATTATGCGTCAATTTTTGCTACCTCCACAAAGCTGTCTCTCAAAGTCTGCTAAAAAGACTTAAATTTCACTTTTTATGCTAAAAAACCGGTCTGCTAAAAAAACCGGTCCCCTGCGTCAATTTATGGGTATCAGGGCAATAAGACGACAGCTGTTAAGACGACAACATTCGCTTTTTGGTTGGACTTAAAGACACGCAATTCTCCCTATTTTTTCCGAGAAATTTAAACTGCGTAAATGCAGACTGCTCATTTTACATGTAATAACGCTTATTTGTCGTCTTAATGGGCTGTCGTCTTATTTACCTAGCACCCAATTCAATTGTGACTCAAAGTCAGCTAAAATACCTATATTTTACTTTTTGTGCTGAAAACCGGTCCCCCCAAAAATAGAAAAGCCATGTTTCATTAAAGATGTTAGATTTATTTAACCTCTTGGAGTTCGAACTTGAATCCGAGTGCTATAATCAATTTTAATGGAGGGGTATTTTGGCTCTGAAAAGTACGTGATAGCATCTAAAATTCTGTGATAAAAGATCACTTTTTCAGAATGAAACATTTCTAAGCTTATGATGGTCTTAAGCGAATATCTTTTTTTCTCTGCAGTATATTTTCCTCAGTGATTGTGAATGTATAATTTTTAGTTGGTGCTGATTTTCACATCATATTCTTGATATAAAACGACTGCATCTTTCCATTGCCTAAATTATCTAACTAAGTTTTGTCATTTTAAGCACTTGACTGTACTGCGCCCACAACATTGCATGTGTCTGTTGGCTTCATTGGTGATTATGAAGCTCCAAATTAGAAGAAAAAACATTGCGTTGGCTAGTTCTTGCCATTTTCTCTATTTTATTCTTTAACTTCAATGTACTGTTTGCTGCACAGGAGGCGAGAAAAAGGCGGAAACACAAGCACAAACACAGGTCAAAAGGTCACCATCGAAGAGACAGCGAGAGAGACAGAGAAAGGAGACACAAAGAGAAGCGCCGAAGGAGGCGAAAGAGAGCTAAACATGGGGGCAAGAAGAGTCACAGACATTCGAGCAGACATCCGGATCATGCGTCCAGTGGCGCGAGATCAGGCCACAGAGAGCGCGAGATGTCTGCAGACAACAGAGATCATAATATCAGGTTAAAAGCGTCTTGTTCTCGTGCTTGCTTATGGGGAATTAATGCAGATTTTCTGGGATTCCACTGTGAATAATCATACACTCTTTATTTCAAAAGTTTTGCGTGCCATATTCGGCTTCAGTAAATTTGAATTTGCGTCATTAAGTTGCGGAAAAACGTAACCTTCCATATAAGCGATTGAATCCTAACAGCTGTTCAGAATTTGATTATTAAATTATTATGATTATTATTATTATTATTATTATTATTATTATTATATGACATTATCATATTATTTGATGATAAAAGTGATTACATTATTTGATTATTTATGTGGAAATGTAAATTCATTGATGTTGACAGGTCTCGTGAGCGGAACCCTAGGCCTCAAAACGGCAGAATAGACAAAAGAGAAGACCTCGTGCTCAAGTGAGTTACTTTCCCTATGATTCTCTGAAAAAGTCCGGATATTCACGAAGTCAGATAAACTTCTGGGTAAATTATATTCCTAAACGGCGTCAAATTTAGAGGCGCTATCAAGAATAAGTTGATCGAACGAGTTATTGTCGGTAAGTTTTTGAGCTTTGAGATCGCTTGTGCTTTCAGAGATCCACAAAAAGCATTGGCTGAAAGACTAGCTAAAGTGAAAAGAGACGAAAACATTTCAATTCCACCACCGTTATTGGGCGAAAGAGGAAACAGCGGAGACAGACAGGGAGAGATAAGCAAAACTGCAGCAGAGATAGCCCAGAGTTTCTTGGAAGCAACGGCCAATGCTCCAGTTAAGACCTTGACTCATCCGCCGCCTCTGATGGGCGAGAGCAGAAGAGACAGAGGAGGTCCACCGCCTAAGGGACGCAGGATGAGTCCACCGCCCCCGGAACATCGGAGAGGAAATGGACCGCAGATGCCCGGATCATCAGGTATAAACATATTTGTTATCAGGTATTTAGTAATTCAGGGCATTACAGCGTTTCGTCAAAAACAACTGAAAATTTTATACTGCGTATACCTAACAATACAATTCCAATATAATTGCTGGCAAATTTCAACTATTGTTCTCAGCAAGTTCTTGAGCTGTTTTGAGCTACGGTCAAATGGCTTATCGACACAGATTATTTGAAGAAGATAGATGTTCTAAGTTAACGTAGATAGATTTTAATACAATTTGTTGAAAAAAGTTCGGAAGATAAGCAATTTGGCATTTTTCTGCATAAGATAGAAAATCTATGGTCACAGTAATTTATGATTAGGCGGTGGGAGGAGAGATCGGGGGTCCAGCTGGAGTCGATCACCCCCAAGGGGAGGGGAAAATAGCAGAAGAGGAAGGGGACATTCAAGAGACAGAGAGATCATGCGTGATGGAAGAGGTGGCGAAGGAGGAGGTGGTAGTCGGGGCGATAGGAGGTCAACGGGGGGAAGAGACAGAGAAGAGGAGAGAGGTAGAAACAACAGGAGGAGAAGCTCATCGGCAGAGTCCAGTGATCAAGGTAGGCTAACTGTTCGAACGGTTCTGTAGCAAGACTTTCCTTTAGCAAGCGTTATCAAGCGATTAGCAAGCGTTATCGGCTCAACTTGAAAATCTTCCCTCCACTAGCGGCTACGCCTAAGCTTTTTTTAGACGTAAAGTTATGTCCCTTGGAATAGTCATTTTTTTAAAAATCTTTTTGACCGTTTTTTTTCGGGTTAACAACTAATTTAACAAAATCACGTGAATTACTAGACTGCATTCACGTGCACTCTCTCCACTCACGTGCTGTCAAGCTCAATCTCCGGCAAACCTGGCACAGAGGTAACAAGTACCTAATAACTAGCTACTGTAGGGTAGTTTTATGGGGACTTGAAACTTTTGAAAGTTTTTTTTTAAACAGTTTTTTTTGAAAGTTTTTTTTTCGGCTCAACTGGTGTCTGCTCAAAGATTGTCGGCCTTGTTTCCGCATCGTAAGTTTTGTTCAGTTACTAATTTGAATTTCAAAAGTCTTGATAAGCGTGTTTGCCTAGAATTCTTGTTTGATAAATACAGGTATTATGAAAGTCATGGGATTCGTTTTTTATTGACTCTTTGAAAAATTTTATCGATTTTCATAAAAGGGTATCCACAGAAAGACCGCCCACATTATTGTGTGCCTTTATACTCCGCTGGTTTCTTTTTGCTTCACACCTTAGTCTACACTACAGCCTTCGAAATCTGTAGGGGAATGTTTGACCCATTATTTTGATTTTTTATCTTTTAAATTTTCTCATAAACTAACTTATCAAATCTGAAAGTTTAATTTCAATAAATAGAACGGACTTGAAAATCTTCCCTTCACTAGTGGCTTCGCCTAACCTTTTTTAGACATAAAGTTATGTCCCTCGGAATAGTCAAATTTTTGATCTTTTTGACCATTTTTTTAGTCTTTTCCATTTTTTCTCTTAAACTAACCTCCTAAACATGAGGTTATCGGTTCAGTTGAGATAACGGGTAGAGGGAAGCTCCCCATGCATTAGCGGCCTCTCACAATTTTTTACAAAAAAATTATCTTCCTCGGAAAAGTCAATTTTTTGAGCGTTTTTTGAATGAATTTCACCGGAAAATACCCTCCCATATCTGAGATAGAACTCAAAGAACTGGTTGTATTAAGCGCCTTTGAGTATGCTACTGCACCAAAATTTTTTTGACCTAAAAGTTATGGCCATCGGAAAAGTCAAAGTTTGATTTTTTGGCCATCTTTTGGAATTTTTTGACTTTTCTCAAACTACCCTGCCAAACCTGGGTTTTTGGATTCAATCGAAATTTTACTTTGGATGAGTTTCTTATGCATAATCGGCTACGCCCATTTAAAAAAAAACGAAGCTATGCTTCTCGGAAATGTCAACTTTCTGATTTATTGACCGTTTTTTGGACTTTTCTCGATAACTGTCCTGCCAAATCTGCTATCATAGGTTTAATCGACACAACATATTGTTGAAAGCTTACGTGTATAATTTACTACACCCAGATTTTTAGAAATAAATATGGTCTCTAACTAGTGAAGGTTTTGGAACTTTCACCGCTCTTTGGAAGTTTTTTTCTTAAAAACAACCCTATCAACATCTAAGAAAAATTTCAATCGAAAGAAGCAGTTGCGCGATTTTTTCTGCAAAAGTGGTTATTCCTTTGTAAGAGAAGTTATGACTTTGCGAAAATTCCAAACCCCCAAAAGTTTTCACTCTGCTCAATTATTTTAGTAGAGAAACAACTAAGGTTTTGGGCAAAGTCCAATTTTTGAAACTACGCATGTCCAGCATCAGTATAGCAAATTTAAAAAACATCAAAGTCGCACCCCCTGCTGTAGCTGGGCCCTAGGTATCATTCATCGACAAAAAATAAAATTTTGGTTCACCTACTTTTTAAAACATTTTGCATGCTTTTTTTTGGAATTATACTTTCATGATTGTGTTGTATTAAACGTGGTGCGAAGCTCCGCTTCGCCTCTGTATTATTATGATTATTTTCTACTTTTTTGTGCTAATTCTAGTATTTAGTCGTTAAATATTAATTTTTTCTCCGCTTATGTTCAGTTTTTGTGTTAACCCAGAAGCCTATGGCAGATTCAGACCGGGTAGGGACTACAGCAGAGGAGGGCGTGGCAAGGGTGGTGGAGGCGGAGGGAGAAGAAATAGGGAGAGGGAGAGGGAGGAATGGAAAGAGAGACAGCAGAAGAAGGATGATATGAACAGAGATAGGGTGAGTGAAAACTGTAAAATATAAATATAAAACATTTATATTCACAATTAGTTTGACCACCAACCATGCTTCTCTAACTTAACGACGGTGAATTCCCATAGGTTCCAATAATCATAGGTTCCAAAATGAAAAATCAGTCGCATAAGTTCCAAAATTTATCTTGTTGAATTCTGATTGGTTGAAATTTGAGCCAACAAATTTATGGATTGATTGTTTACTGTTCAACCAGCATAAACTCAAGCTGTAGAATAGTGACCGCCGCAGCCGCGCCAACGTGTTGCGAGCTTGCCACCAAAGGGTAGGACTGTATACGAAATTTAGAGAAGGTTATCGCCGCGACGCGCGCGTAGTGCGCCCACCGGCGACCTTAAACCGAGACTCGGCTAATTTAGTCTTTTGACCAAATGAAAAGATTTGGACCTTATGCGACTGCTTTTTTATTTTGGAACCTATGGGACTGGTTTTTTATTTTGGAACCTATGAATACGCACCCTTAACGACAAAACAGCATTTCTATCAGCTTAGTGAAGACTTTTTATATGTTGTGATGATTTGTTGTCACGCTAAAAATTTGATTATGGTGATTTGACTTTTGATTTCTTCAAGTTCAGTTCATTTTTTTGTTAAAAGTAGGGCAAACTCCACTATCGAACAGAAAAAGTCAAAAAGCCACGAAAAATGTGATCGACTTTAATTCCGAAAGTGGGTTTTAATTTTCAGTTTTCTCAGCTAAATAACAAAATGACCTATTGATCCAATTTTCTCTGATATGTTCCGTTCATGAAAAAATTTTTTAAAATTAAAAGTCGATGAACGTAGCTGAGAATTTTACTCGTAGTGATGAAATTATGTTTTTTATATGAAAGTCTTAAAATTTGTCCAGGCTCAAATTAAAATTTTCACGGTTTGACTTATGATTTCTTATTAAGTTCAGTTCATTTACTTTGTTAAAAGGAAGGAAAACTCCACTATCGAACAGCGTATAAGCATCATTAAAAACTTTTTCGACTTCCTATTTCGCAAATATAATTTAATAACCAGATTTTTTTTCTCAGCAAAAAACTGTACATATAGATCCAGTTTTGTTTTATCTTTAAATTTTATCTTGAAATTTTCGATCATACGTTTTTCTAGAAAATCAAACAGGTTTTTTTTTATATTTCCGGAGTTGAGATTTTCGCAAGAAGCACGGCAGTATTTTTTATTATGTTTACTTGCGTTCATTCATTTTTTTTCCAAATGTCAGTTGGCTAAGTTTTCGTTTTTTCAAGTTTCATTTATTAATCAAAGATTGTTGAAATTCAAAGAGCTATAATGTGGTTTATGTTTTGATCCATATATCTTTTGATAATTTCTGAAATTGAGTATTCAATTTTTGCCAGAAAACGTTTTTTTAATTTCAAATCATACTCAAAAAACAAGATCCGTAAGGTGCAAAGACAACCGCGTTACCACTGAACTAAGTGAGAAAGAGCCTGGAAGTTAAGGATAAAAAATGAAGCAAGTTCAATTCTTACACTTACAAAATTTTGCTTCTCAATTGAGATACTTGCGTTAGCAAGTGTAAACACATATTTAGCAGTTGAACATAATTCAAATACTTACTTTCAAGCACATTGAGTCTTCTTAAAGAACCTTGTAAATGGTACTACGTTGAAACGTAGCCAGCAAAGTTGGAAACGAGTCAATAAACGCAGTGAAACAAGAAAAATTGGACATAATTTTTCTTGTTTCCTTCAGTTTATTGACTCTTTTCCAACTTTCTTGGCTGGGTTTCAACATAAAATCATTTTACAAGGTTCTTTATGAAGACTCAATGTGCTTGAAAGTGCTCAATGTATTTGAATTATGTTCAACTGCTAAATATGTGTTTACACTTCCGAACGCAAGTGTCTTGTAGTAGGGAAGTAGAATTTTGTAAGTAGAATCTGTTAGAATTTGAACTTGCTTTATTTTTGAACCCCAACTTTCAGGTTCTTTTCCTTTTAATTCAGTGGAAACTCGGTTGTCTTTGCACTTACGGATCTTGTTTTTTCAGTATGTATGAAATTAAAAAAACGTTTTGTGGCAAAAATTGATTCTTTGTCTGCTGATGTTTTGTCGGTCTAGTTTCCACATCACCAATTTGTTTGTTGCAAGCAATTTTCCTTCTATTTGCAAGTATTGTCGATTTACTTGTTTAGTTAATAAATTTATAAACTGTATGATTTCTGTATGATTTCTTTTGTGCCTTTTTTTGCTTGAAAGATTTATTCAAGCAAAGTAGTTGGTGTTTATGTTTTGTTGGGTTTTTCAGCTTATTTTGTGTCCTTTAAAGGGCACAAATTGATTAATTTTTATAAAAAATAGTTCAGGTCAGTTTGTGTAACAGTTCAAATTTTTTAAACTTGATCGCTCCATTTTTTTGAAGACAATAATTTTTTATAGCATCTTTTTTGTTTTCGTCTCTATGGGCATCTAACTACCTATTGTTGCTATGGCTCTTCGGTAAATACTAAAAGCGTTTTCAATTCTGATGGTTGTATTTTTCTGCTATTTTTGTGAATTTGGAGCCTGGAAGTTTTCTAAGAAATTTTTTTCGACTTAATTTTCTATTCGCTAGCTTGCAATGCTACGCTTGCGTTATATCGCAAGTGATGAGACGCCCAGCTTTGTCTATGTTGAAAGTGGGATATCATGAATATCGATGGTGATGGGGTGGGTAAAGATGAAAGAGCCGTAAGAGTTTCAAGAAATTAAGTGGTCCTGAAAAACACCAGTTCGACAACATTGCGTGATTTCTGCAATATTCGTGATCAGAAGGTTTTTCATTAAAAAGAGATATGTGGTTAAACGCTTTACACAGGATTTTTTGTTCACTTACCCCTAACAGCAGAGCCAACGAACGCATTTGGGACGCACGCGCACTCGCTGGTCTTAAGCCATCATACCCGTTTTTTTTTTAAATTCCTTGAGCTTGTTCTTTCTTTGGTTTCAGCCTTTTCTTATTGTACCATGTTGTAAAACTTCCATGGCATCCTCAGAGGAGGGCAGATGCTTTTGAGACAGCAGACACCCAATTGAGTCTTTGCAGTAGTAACCCATGAAAAAATCTCAGAAGGGTTCAGTTTTTAAGATGCAAACTTAACCAAAAATGAAGAATATCAAACTGTTTTTCTCTTTTTTTCACAAGCAAAGCTTGTGTGATAGCTTGAACTCTTTTTTTCCAACCTAAGTCGCAATTATTAGTGTTCATGTTGAAAGTGTTCATTTTGAACAATAACCAGCTATTAAGTACAGCCAATGCTAAGGATATTAACACAGGTTATTATATAACAAATAGCACTTTAGCTTCAAGGTATCATGGATCTGTAGCTTAGAGGTAGGGAAGGAGACCCGCAACAAAATAAGAGGGTTCAAACCTGGGTAGGGTCGGATGTTTTTATTCAACTTTTTTGTATACTAGTTAAAATGCATCCGCTCTATAAATTGAGGCATGTTAGTTGGTAAATGTCTTTTTTTTTTAAATTGACTGCTAATGCGTCATAATTGGCGTGCGTCACTTAAGAAACTTTGTAGACTCAAAGTTTTACTCATTCAGTTTTTCCCAGTAGCGTTATTGGTCATATTTTTGCTTGTATAAGAGTAGATAGTTTAAGTAATGAGGTCATCTCAGATCCACATCAATTACGTACAATTTAAAAAAAACTGCTTTCTTCAAGTTCTGAATTTTTAATTAGAGCAATTTATGTTCTTGCAGCAGATTGAGAAGCTTAGGTCCTTCTCCTCGACTTGAGAATTTTTGCATTTTATTTTGGCAAGAAGTAATTTCAGGAGACTTTTCGTTGTTCATTTAGTATATATACATATAGCAGTTTTTTTTTTACATTAAATTCAAATAATATTCTCGAATGCTCACTCGTATGCAATTTGGCTCAGGATCGAATTAGCAATTTTGATAAATCTCTAGCATATAGCTCATGAACAGTCAAAATTCTTTTTTTGTCTAATGAAGCCGCAACACTTGCCTGATTTTTTAAGAGAAAATTAGTACAATTTTTCCTCTGTAGATGAACAATGACTAAAAGGGAATTGTAGCGTACACAACCATATATCTGGATACCGTAATCAATATTAGATCCAAAGTTTGACTAATCGTAAGGTAGTTAAGTTTTGAATCCAAAATTTTTCCCAGATATTAGTTTTTTTTTCGTGAATTTCATTTCTACCAAATAACTGGATTGCTAGAAGAGCTTTTGTTTTATCATTATTTTTTTTTCGTTTTTTAACCTAACTTATTTGCAGTTAACCGCAATATATAAAACGAAACAGCAGAGAGCCCTTTTATATTAGCTTTTATTTTAACATCTTCATTTTTGGTGTTTGTTTTAGGTCAAAAGAGAGACGGGGATAGCTGTTCCAGAATACTACAAAGCATCTGCGATAAATCCTGAACACTTCGCTGAGCAGGAGCGGAAGCGCAAGCTGCTATGGGGAAATAAAACCAAAGACAAAGACACTGGAGTGTCAGCTTCTAAAACAGCATCTATTTGGGAAGCGACTTCTTTTCAGGACGACACGAGTAATCAGAAGTTTCGAAGGTCATTAAGCCAAAACTATAATAAGAAATCGTTTGAAAAATTGGAACTTTTGTCGCACTAGGCGTAACTTTTTTTGCGATTGAGGTCCTCTAAACCAGCTGGCCTATCAGTTCTTAACAGCGCTTTCAAAGAATGGAAATTTGAAGACCCGTTTTTTGGAAATTAATTTTCTCGGAAAACTGGTTTCTGGATCTTCGTCACCCAGCCTAGTTCCTCAATAATGCTTTGACCTTCACGCTGTGATTTTGAAATTATGGCGAGGGGTTTTATAATTTGATGGGGTCTGCTTTAATGTGAAAGTGACTGGTTTCTTAAGTTTTTGATAGTTATTTTTGAATTTAGACTACTTGTCAGCAAGACCGATAATTGTTTGGATATTTAATGCGAACTGTTTTTTTAATGCTGGTTACGAAATACGTGCAATTAAAATACCAACAAGACCGATAATTGTTTGGATATTTAATACGAACTGATTTTAATACTGATTACAAAATACATTCAATTGAAATGAATATTTTAGACTAATGGGAATCAAAGAAGGAGAGAGTGATGGTGCGTCTAAAGCAGAAGGAGGTTCGGCCAGTGGCAACAACGGCACCTCCAGTGGCCCCGGAGAAGCGAGCAAACTGGCACAGAAGCAGGACGAACTGTTCCGCAAACTTGACCAGCAATACGCAGTTGCCAGACTACAGACACATACGCAGAGAGGAACTGGGTTAGGTTTTAACTCATAGCACAGAAGATGCACTGAATTCCAATTAGGGAAATAAATCCCAGCGAGAATAGCCAATCGGATTGAAGAGATGCGTTTTTATTTCCATATATGGACAAAATGACAAGCGCCTACGTGAGTAGTAGCTGAGCCAATAAGAATTGAGGAATGACAAAAAGAGTTGGCCAAGTGAAGTAGTGTCGATATTTGTGCAATCGAATAAGCTATGGTGCGAAAAAATGTCAAAATAATCTATATAACTTTTCTGCAAAATAATGGTGATATGCCACAAATGCTGCTGTATTCCTTAAAGTTTCATTTAATTTTTTCCAATTATCTTGATATTTTCCTCAATGTTACTTCAGACTTCACATTTGTTTCAATTCTTTAAAATCTTATAGTTGCCTTTTAGAATAAAATTTTGGTCATATTTCAGAATTTAATAATAATTGTCTCAATTAGTTTTTGAACCTTCTAAGCTACAATAGGAGCAGTATTGAAGATAACTAATTTACGGTAGAATCTGTATGAAGTCATGTTTTGAAAGGCCCATTATAGAAAACGAAGGGTGTAAAGAAATCGAAATGAAATTTCGCTTGTCTTGATTTTGTTATATATGTCACGATTGTTTTTGGTTAACATGATCCCATCTTTTGTTAAAAAGAAGGAAGCTTCTTTGTCGAACAGTAAAACTGTAAATGTGACGAAAAGCGTGAATGATTTCAATCATTTTTTTTCCGGTTTTTTGTGTTTTTATACTTTTTCAAACGTCAGTCGTCTGTATTTTCATTTTTTGATTCCAAACTTTTGAAGCTGTACCTCGAATGTTCTGGTGGTTCAGTGCCGTAGAATATAAAAGGCCCTAGGTCGATGTTCGGATTTCGAAAATATCTAAGAAGCTTCAGAATTAACTGAACAAAGACCTTTCGATAAAAACTGATCTGAATAGTTTGATTTCAGGCTGGTTACTTGCAGGTTAATTCTGCTAGCCTTGAACCAGTGACGAATTAAGGGGGAAGAGGCAGACGCCCACCCCCCCCCCCCCTACCTCAGAGATTCGATCGCCTCGCCAGGGATTCGATCTCCTCCCCCCTTTGGTATTATTTTATTACATCCATTTTTGGCGACTAACCCTAAAATTTTTGAAAAGCGCCCTTGGCGCCAATTTATATTAATTTTGAAGGGAGCGCACTTCTGGTAAAAAAAAAGCCCAAAAATGGTATTTTTCACAAATTTACCAGCGGAGCGCTCAGAAAATTAATTGGTCGGCCTACAAAAGGTAGACAAAATTTTCCGTTTTGTTTTGTTTTCCACTGAAAACTAAAATTTGTTAAAGTTCAAATTTCATTTTCCCTGTTTGATTTCTGATTTGTTTTTAAGTTCGCTTCATTTCCTCCCTTAAAAGGAAGGCAAACTGCACGATTGAAGAGCAAAAGTGCGAATTGCAAATGTCACGAAAATCATGATCAACTTGTAGTTTCCAAAGTAGATTTAAATTCTTAGGTTTGCCAGTTGAAGAAAATTCTCAGTTTGTTAAAAGTTAAGACTATTTATAGAAAGATTTTTCTCTAACGTGAATAACTTCTAGTTTCAAAAATGAACTTTAGCTTTCTGAATTCTTCGCGGATTAAATAAATTACCGATTGATTCAGTTTTCTCTAAGTGGATAACATGCAGAAAACTTGCAAATGATAAAAAAGTTTTTGAAATTGAAAGACATGTTAAAGTGCTATATTTTATTCTTCGAAATTCGAATATTGAAAAGCGTTTAGAGGCAGCAGACACTCAATTGAGCCTTTGCAGTAGTAACCCATGAACAAATCTTAAAAGGTTTCAGTTTAAAGATGCAAATTTAACCAAAAATGAAGAATATCAAACTGTTTTTCTCCTCTTTTTTCACAAGCAAAGCTTGTGTGATAGTATGAACTATCCTTTTTTCCAACCTAAGTCGCAAATATTAGTGTTCATTTTGATCATTAACCAGCTATTAAGTACATCCAATTCTAAGACAGATTATTAAGGATATTAAGACAGATTATTATATTACAAATAGCTCTTTAGCTTCAAGGTATCATGGATCTGTAGCGTAAAGGTAGGGAAGGAGACAAAATAAGAGGATTCGAACCTGGGCAGGTTAAGATGTTTTCATTCTACTTTTTCGTTCATCTACGTTCATGCATACTACTTAAAATGCATCCGCTCAATAAATTGAGGCATGTTAGTTGGTAAATGTTTTTTTTTTTCAAATTGACTGCTAATGCCTCATAATTGGCGTGCGTCACTTAAGAAACTTTGTAGACTCTAAGTTTTACTCTTTCATTTTTCCCCAGTAGCGTTATCGGTCATGTTTTTGCTTGTGTATTCGAAGTGCAACTTCGCCTGTGTGAAATGGTGGAATTTAATATTTCAGAATTTGGTATGCGTTTGAGTATTTGAGAAGTTTTGCTGCGTGATGCAATAGCTGAGTTTGTTCTGAAAACGGAAATAAAACTCCTTCAAGATGATAATTCCGCAGTACGACTTGTCGCAGAGTAGTTCCTCTGTTTGTGTGAAAGTGCGTGCCCCTTATTCGAACTTCACAGAAGCGGATTGGGATACTGAAGGTGGAGTGTTTCTATTCCACTGTCAGCCATACTTTCTCAGGCTAGACTTCGGGACTGATTTCGACCAGATTGGATCCAAGTCTAGGTACAAGTAGTAGAGATGGATCCCGGAATTAATAAAATCTTAAAAGAAAGAGGCATGATAAATGATACATCAAAATTAAATTGTGCATCAAAGTTCGTTCCAAATATGAAATGGTGAATATAAAGTCAACAAACCGTACTAGATGAACGTACTTCTGACTCCTATATAGGTGGCGATGAATTTTTTTTTTGATTTTTTTTTTAGGAAAAGTCTTCAAATTTATTGAGACTGATTTTTTTTCGCGGTTTGACTGCACTTTTTTTCTAAGTACAGTTCTTTTCCTTAGTTAAAAGGAAGATAAACTCCACTGTCGAACAGCAAAAGTGTAATGGCCATGTAAAACGTGATCCATTAGTTTCGAAAGTGGAATTTAATTTTCAGATTTCCCAGCGAATTTTTTTTAATTGATCTAGTGTTCTCAAATTGGTTTCATTAAAAAAAGTGTCAAAGTGTTTTAAGCTATCCATTTTTTAATTTCGAAAATGCATTTTTTTCAAAAAAAACAATTCATTTTTTTTTTCTGGTTACTTGCGTTCATTGACACTTTTCCAACTGTCTTTTGGCTATGTTTTACTTTTCTAAGGATCAGTTTTGACGATCAGATCAAAATTCTGATAGTCAAAAATGAGAGATGTAAATAACGCTCTAAAAGTTTTAAAACTTTTAAAATTTCGATATTTCCCAAAAGCGAACCATCTAAAATATTTGAATCTTATCCAGCTATGACGTGGACCTTGGCGTGTACTCGTTCTCTCTAGCTAAAACATTTCCCGGAACAGAATACAAACTACAAGTACCGGATACGTCTGGTGCTGGCCCAGAAAATTTACCAAACAGCTTGAAAAAGGAAAATGCAGGCAACAGACTGTCCAAAAAAGAAGATTTGATCTTTGAGAAAGCGTGCGTTGAGCTAGAAGGAGATTCAATCAGTTCAGATGAAACGTCTTCAGAATCTGATGAAGATCAAAACAACGCGGATGCGTCTTTGAAGTGTCAGGCTGGATATGGATTCGGAAATAGTAAGTTGAAAAGTGCACAGAACCCTAACTGGCCAGATGGATTCATCGTTTGCGCAATATACTCGAGAATCTTTATGATGTTGCTACTACCGTATCGCGCCGTAACACCTTTGTAATGAATTAAGAAAATTGAAGCACGCTAATAATTTACAGTAAATGATCGATAATTCTAACGGTAATTTGCATTATCTTTTTATTATGTCAGTTACGGGAAGTTTTGTGCGTTAATTAGAGACAACTTCATGTTTTTCCAGCTCTCACTGGGAAACTTGACTCAATAGACGAAGTGGCATCGGGTGTGTTCGAATTGTCTCCTCTTTTGCTACCAGAGCATCGAACTCTAAGGAGACGAGAAATAGAAAATGTCCGAATAGCAGATAATGCCAATCATCTCCGAAAAAGCTTTTTGGACGGTAAGAAGCATAGTCATGTAGATTTCCTCAATCCAGATTTTTTTCTCCGAAAACGAAATTTTTCAAATCAGATATCAGGCTCATTAATCATTAGTGAATATCTAAAAATACGATTATAACGATTTTACAATATTTCAGCCACTGAAAGTTTTGACTTCCTTACTAAAATTTTTCAAATCGGTCTGTCTCGACACTGGGACAACTTATGGTTTTTAAAATTGATTTTCGAATCACGACTAAAAGGGACTTTATATGATATATCACTCAGCCATTCTGATGAATATTTGTGACACCTGATTTTGCGTGAAAAAAAATATTGAAAAAAGAAAAAATCTAAAACTCACAATGGTCGGAACAAATAGTAGCTTTGGGGGTTCTTCAGTTGATGGGGTTCTCCAATTTTGACTCTGTCAAATTTTGGAGGATGTTAACTTGATCCTATATTTCTCTGAAATGCTAATGGAGTAGTCTTAAAGTTCCATTATGAAAGAGTACAGTACCATGTATCGTCAAGAGGGCCATTGTTCAGTGATGCAAACGCTAAAATGAGACTGCTAACTTGGTCACCCTTTCACTTTCAGTGGTTCCGGCAAGACTGCTTGCTGCTGCAGCCCTTCTGATTCCCTCGAGATGTGGACACTAAAAATCGCTGTTTGGTCCTGTCAATTTTCTCAATTTTTCCCAGTTCGTGATCAATTCGCTCAGAGACGTCAGAAACTATCATAAGTCCTCTTAGGCAAATAAGGCATAAATTCTAGCTATTTAAGAGACTAAGTACCGAATAGAATGTTTTTGAAGCTAGTGGTGCAATTCCATAGGTACTATGATTGATAAATTTTTGTTGCAGCCACTTAAAAATTGATATCTGCCGATCCGAACATCAATTCTTTTTTATTTGCCATCGGCTCTAGTTCCTCCTTACTGTCTCGAGCCGTGCTTTCGCGAGAAAATCAATGTCATCCAATTTGCCGTAGTCAGTCCCACCTTGAGGAAGTGCATGACACTGTGGTCTTCCTCTAGTGACCGAAGTGGGATTCAAATACGCGGTCTTCGCATTGAAAGCGACGTATCGTACCTACTAGGCCGGTCGGTGCTAGGTAAATAAGGCGACAGGACATTTAGACAACCTGGCATTAAGACGACAAATGAGAGTTAAAACATGTAAATTTAACAGTTCGTATTAAAGTGAACTATATTTCGGACCAAGTTAACATAAGCTCCCACCCCCACCCCAATATTAATTGATCCTATATTTCTCAGAAATGCTGATGGAGAATTTTTGGGGCGTCGTCTTAAAGTCCAGCCAAAAGCGGTTGTCATCTTAACAGCTGTCGTCTTATTTGCCGGGCACCTGGCCGCTCATTCTTCATGTCTTCCCCATTTTATGTCACCACAAATGGTAATTAGCTGTGGTCTTTTTTTCCCCGCAATCAAAAGAAAGATATTCAAAATTACGGGCTGCGGGTTCGGTGGGCCAGTTATTTTTCATCTCCATATCGTCAAGGGTTATCTCTTGGTCGATATGACGAGGTTTTTTTCTTGCCGACAATTACTGGTTTTTAATACTGGTTGGTTTGGATGTTTTTGCTACTCCTCAGTAATTGGGTATTATTTTATTGCTAAGAAGAAGTGCGGAACGCGGCTGATATGCTGGGCGAGGACCCTTTGGAGAAGCAGTGTCTCGGAATTTCTCTTGAATTGGATAAAATTCAGCTGACAAGAGAGCACAAAGACATTTTGAAGGACTTCCGATTCAGGTAAGTTCTTTTTGTCTTTTGAGTATCATAGCGAGTTATTAAGTTATTTCAAGCAGTGATTTTTCTATTCGTTCAGGAAGCTGTTGTTGGAAGGTAGTCAGTCTAAACTGTGCTATATTACCCTGCTTGAAATTTTGCTCGGCTGGGCTTACGACAGGCGAGTCTCCGGAGGCGAAAGACACTCGGAGTCCTGCTGGAACATTGTCCGTCTCAGTCCCACAATCTCTTGTCTTCTGCCTCATAATGAAAGTTTATCTTCAGTACCGTCTTTGACACAGTGTTGTGAGGCATTTGCTCAGAGGGTGATACTGTATCCGCTTTGCAGAAGTTTGACAGTTGCTAATGCATGTATACAGGTAAACAAAATAGCTCAAACGTTATCAAAGTTCTTGGTTTTCTATTTCAGTTCAAGGCCTTGATTTTAAACAAACAGCATAAATGAAACCAACGATACCTAATACAGTGTTGATTAAGAGTAATGAACGCAGTGAATACTTTTGTAGGTCTTGAGGGTTTTTGTAGGTCTTGACAAAAGACAAAAAATTCTTTCAATTTGTTCACGCTTAATTGTGATTTTTCGCGGTTTGGCTTGTTATTTTTTTTCAATTTTAGTCCAATTTCATGGTTAACAGGAAAGCAAAATCCACTATTGAACAACAAGTGTGTAAATGTCACAAAAATTGTGATCGATTTCTACTTTCGAACGTGGAGTTTAATTATCAAATTTTCCAGCGAATTATCCAGTTTTTCTCAAATTCAGTTAATTTTATGAAAAAATTGTCAACCATAAAATGTTCTACAAATTCAAAGCGTTTTAAGGCCATCTGTTTTTCTTTCAAATTGGAAAGTTGAGATTCTTGCGAAAAAAAACAAGTTAGTTTTTTGTTGTTTCCTTGCGTTGATCACTCTTTTTCAATTGTCAGTCGGCTATGTATTAAATTATCCGCACAAAACAAAGAAAACTCGCATTTTTCTCAAATTGTGTTTAGTTTTAGAAAAAAAAATGTTGAAGGCAAATCTTGCTTAGAGTTTATACAAATAATATGGTGAAAGTATGTTTTTGCTAAGTTCGGGCACAAAATTTCATCCCAAAACGATCACTTGACTTTTTAGCCAACCAAAATTTAAGCCAGAACTACCAGATCAAAGTATATCAAAGTGAGCCTCTTGTGTAGCACAACTAAGTTTAAGATTGATATAGGTGACCAAAAATCGATGTAAAACGTTCTAAATTTTTTTTTTGCGAGAACAAGTTTCTAGTAATCGGTAATTAGACTTTTTTTGCGTAAACAACTTTTACAAGAAATTGAATTTGGTTTATTATTGAACCTGAACAGGTTCCTCACCACTTGGCTGAGAGGTAACGCGGTTGCCTTTGCACTCTAATGTTGAATTCAATCGAATTAACAGGTTTTGTGAAGCACCCCTGTATATTGACCATTCTCTTTGCCAATTCTTTGTTTTTCAAAAAAAATTATTGTACTCGGTACTTTGAAACATTTTGATTTTTCTCATTAAGTTTCTTCCCAAATCGGAGTGTCTTTGGTTCAAATTACAGGTTGCATTAATCTTTTTGCAAAAGGGGCTACGCACAATTTTTTTTCACCTAGTCTTTTTTTTTGGCTGGATTTGTTGACAGTTTTTTGTAAACCTTATGACTTCTCGATAACTATCCTGCAAATTCTGATATCAAGGCCTTCATCGAAAGAAAAGGTTATGTTAGAATAGGGTGTCGCCCTTGTTTTGAGAGGAAAATAGTTGTGGCTTTCGTATTTGTTTTTTTTAAAGGCTTATGGCCTTCGAAAAAGTCGAATATGATTTTTTGGTGACGTTTTCTTGGATGCGTTTGATTTTCCTTAAAAACTACCCTACCGAAGCTGAAATCGAGAATTCAGTCCAAGCAACTAGTTTCGAAAAATTTTCGTGCAGGAATGGTGATTCCTTATATTTTTGTAAGATAAATCTTATGTTTTTGAGAATATTCCATTATCTCAAACCATTTCATTTCTACTTATATTAGTAGGGAAACAACTAGGGCTCTGGACTAAGTCCAATTTTGGAAATAACGCATTTCATCACGCATCAGTACAACAAATTCAAAAATTTCAAATACGTACAATCGCCTCTGTAAAAATGGTATTCATAAAGTAAAAATGAAATTTTTTGGCAATCAACCGAAAATTTTTTTTCGTACGTCAACAAAGTTGAGAAGATAATATCCTTCTTTGAATATTCCTTCTTAAACTTAGGTTCACTTTGGTATAATTCTGTGAGCAGTTGATCTGGTGGTTCTGGCGTATCTTTTGATGGGCCAAAAAACAAAAAGTTTGAGAGTTAACTCATTTTGAGAGATGAAGAGTTTTTAGGGTCAGCTCAAGTTATTTTCGATTAGTCCTTTCGTATACAAAAACGAGTCGAGTCTACTTTAGCATTTGATAGTCCTCAATCTCATCATCAAAGAATCAAATAAAAGTGTTCAGTATGGGGCAGAACGCCATAGGACAAAATGTTATGTTGGCATAGGAAAATTTACCATGTATGGCAAGTTATTAGTGGAAAAGTTGGCATGGGGCCATTTGCAGTGGGGCAAATAGTCTTGAAATCTTTAAATTAGCACTGTGTTTCCCTAACACGTGAATGATGAAGTAGAAAACAACTGTTTCATTTTAAGCAATTTTGATTAGATTTCGAAAAGTTCAATGTGCCAAATAAACTGCTTCCGGGTCCAGCGATAGTCAGCTGAAAAAAAACATACGGACTATCGTAAATTGTTCAGCGCTAATAAAATAGCTGAGTTTCAAACATGCAAGAAATAAACTCATCGAAGTAAAAAAAAATGTAAGTTTTTGTATTATGCAGACCTTTTAGGACGTCTCTCAACTTCTTCTGAACTCCAACTACTCTGACTCGACTCTATTACCATCTCCTTCGACTGTCAATCACGAGGCATTGCTATCTATAATTTTGGACGTGTACACATGTATGGGCAGTAATAGCGGTGAGGCCTGGTATCTTATTAATGAACTGTTCATGCGTCCATGTATCTCTTGGCTACACGTCAATGCCGACCAAAGAGTTCTGCGTGCGATAGGGGAAGATCTAAAACACATCAAAGTTAACGCAGATATGTTGCCCATGTATGATATGGTGATGTCAGTTAACGGGACAGGTGCTGAAGAATCAGAACAGATGTTGATGCAGGGTCTCAAAAGTCTGGGGCTTCAAGAAGTACAAGAATGTGACGATAGGAATGAATCACCTGAAAAGAAAATGCTACTGTGTCGCGTGAAGGAAACAAGTTCGGATAGCGATGATGACTAAGTTTTTTTTAGTCTATCTTGACTAGCACTGTGGACGAAGATTTGTTTTTGTTTCAATTTCGTTATTTGTTGAAGTAATTTTTGAAGCTTCTTTTTTGATTCAGTCTGAATATATTGAATTAATTGCTCTCCTTTTAGTTGAAATTAGGGTTAGTTATTGGTCATTATCATAATCATTGCGGTTGATTATACACCTATTGCTGGTACGCAAGTTTTTTTGAAATATGGTTGTGATTGTCCACATCCTGTTACGTTGTGATTGTCCACATCCTGTTACAAGCACTTTCTAAACGAGCTCATTTTTTTCCCGGTTTTTAGCTCTTGTTGTTCTGTGTGCTTACATCCGATATCTTTGCTCTAAGTTAAGCTAATTTTCAAATTTTTCATCTCCGCTCTATGAAGCGAGTTCAATTTTTTCATCGATTTCATGTAAATCTCTGCTCAAGTTAATCAATACTTTCTAGGGGAGGGTATGGATGTGGCCAAGGGTCTCCTGTCAATCTGAAGGACGTTAGTTGAATTGCAATTCAGTCTACAGTTAGTTCGAGGCACATCATAATAAAAAGTTAACACAAAAAGACATTAAAGACTTAATTAGGGGCGCAATAGTGGAGCGGCCGTGGCCAAGTGGCTCAGTAGTGGGCCCTAATGAGCTGAACAAACTTTGTGTTCCTTTCTCTAGGGGACTAGTTGTTATTACATGGTAATTCGAGATTATTGCGCACATTTAAACTATTTTAGAAGACCATAATATGATTTAGTTTCTTGGCGACTTTATTCGATTATTATAAGGATGTGGCTCTGTAACAAAATTTGATTGACGTTTTTGAGTTATATTAGTTGATACAATGGATCTGCCAGTTGTCTTGATGCCTTGTGTGCAACCAGAAATTAAGGAGTATCCAGGCTCTCATAAGACAGAATTCGGAAATTAGGTGGATATTACCGTATCTACATACGGCAGTATTGTGTTATCATTTGTGGTGACCTGAATTCTGCAGTAACTTTGGTTGAAGATTGCAGATTGATTGTTCAGCAGACTATTTGTACCAACTAATTATTTGATCTTCAAATACCGATCTAGTAACTGTTCATTTGCCGTTCGTGTTTTTATGACAGCTGATATTATATCGAGTCACTTCTATGTTAAAACAAGGTTGAACTCATTTACTACCAGCATGCCATTCATTTCGTCCCCCTAGGAATTCCAACTTTTCTTAAAGTTTCAAAACTCTGAAATTGAAAGGGCCCTTTAGCTGACAGAATAACATTAGTTGGTTTGTTTTCCGCATTCTATTAATTTCTTGATTGAGTTATTTTCAAAATATTTAATTTCTAGTTAAAGGCAACCCCTGGAGCTAAATAAGGTGTAATTGCCTTGAAGGTTATTGCCAATTTGAAGCCAAAATTTTTGCGCTTATTTTGTTTAATTGTTTATTTGACGGCCTCAAAATAGCCTGGGGCGTAGCTGCGAAGAAAGATTTACCAGAAACCTCTGCCAAACAGCTTGTTTTGCGGCAACTTGCTGCCTTCTCGTTCAAACTCTAATTTTGGCAATTTCCACACTCGCTTTCAATTACTGAAGTAGGTCACCCTTTCTACAGCTGGCCGTGCCCATTTCGTTGAAGAAGTCAAGACAGTGTATATTTATTACTTTTTCTGCTAGTTATATTTCTACATTTGCGAGAGTAAGTGTATTGCAATTGTGTTCTAGACTTTTTCCCGTGAACAATTTTGATACCGGGGCTCATCTCTTCGTGAAATAGAGAGCTACAGCCCTGACTTTGGTTCGATTTCTTACAGACTTGTTGACCAACAGACATATTTCGAGCGTCCTTTATTTTCAAATACCCGTTCATTTCGAAATTTTATCGTGATTGTGCAATTACAAACTCCTATTTTTATAATTTCCCTTTTTGACTTTTTTGATTTAAAACCATTTTTTGGTGTATGTTGTATCGACTTAGCAGCCGCATAGTTCGTCAGTTGGTTGAAAAGAAGTTATACGCAGGGGAGGCCAAGTTTGAGTATTTGGACATAATTTTTTTATGTTCAGGTTTTTAGGACACAACTTTTTTTTTCGGCGCAAACGTTGTGTAACCAAGTATTTTCGGCTTGGTGAATGTGGATAATATATTGTTTAATGCTAGGATAAGGCTTCATATTGTTCTTTTTATATGTTTCTTCTAAATTGATCTTGATTCTAGATCATTCATGATATGAACATATTTTGGTAGCTTTGTTTTGTAGATTTGATTTCAAATTTATTCAATACATCCGTTCATCGTAATCCGTGTGGAATGTCCCACGTTTCGCCCCACGCACATTTCGCCCCTCTTAAATCTAGTGGCACATTTCGCCCCTAATTTTTTCACACATTTCGTCCTCGCACGTTTTGCCCCTAAATTATTACACAGTTAATTAACGCCGCTTTCTTAATGTACACTTTAGGCGCGAAATGTACCAGTAATTTATGAGGGGGCGAAATGTGTGAGGGGCGAAATGTGTGAGAGGCGAAATGTGTGAGGGGCGAAACGTGCAGCTAGATTTAATAGGGGCGAAACGTGTGAGGGGCGAACTGTGTGAATACCATCCGTGTGTGTTGATTTTGTGAAATCTATTCAATTTCACTACTCTAAGTCTTAATGAGTGGTAAGAGTTTTCTCATAAGTCGGTGCATTTTTGAAGAGATAGATATCATAAATTTGTTCACGCTCATTTTTCAACCTTATTTATACAATTTTTGTTCAATTTTTGTACAGTATGTAGTCTTGGGAGTGACCAGGTGGTGGCAGCTTATCTATCAGCACGCTAGGGCTGCGTCATCGAGAACAGATCTTTCCATTCTTTTATAAGCGAATAAAGCTTTTTTGTTCCGACTATTGATAATGGGGAGAAACTTTATATTCGGGTGTGTTTTAGTTTTTTTTTCGGTTTCCACGCAAAATCAGCTACCACAAATAATCATTGGGCTGGATTGAGTCATCAATGATGATGATGATGATGAGTGTTATATCATATTAAAGCCTTTGCAGTCGTGATTCGAACACAAACAAATTTCTCAGTGTCGAGAATAACCTGTTTGAAATTTTTGATTTTTCGTCTTCTTTCGAGCGAATAAAGCGAGCGAGCAGTCTTCTTGTAACTGCTTAAAAGCTTACAATAGCTTAATTTAAAACTTAAAATCTTGGTTTTACTTGAGTAAAGTTAGTTTTTTTGAGTATTGTAGCGCCTTTTTGGAATCGAAATTTTCAAAAATTCAAAATACTGCAAAACTTGAAAAAAATATATTAATTTTTTTTTTTCATTTTTCAAGTAACTTTTTACAAACTTTTTCAATTTGCTTATTTTACTATGACTGTCGAATATACCTAATGTCCAGTTTTTTTCGGCTCCTTTTTTCAGCGCCTTTTTTTAGTTGCTTGGGTTTGATAGCGTGCATTTTAGAGTGTACAATGTGCACTTCAGTGTGTGCTTCAGGAATGGGTCTAAGAATGGGTCCTAGGATTTAGTTTTGTCTTCCAGGTATAGAAGAATGCTCGGAATTATAACCTTAGGATGCGTTTAGTCAGAATAGTAAAAGGCTGCTGGATATTTGGTAGGTGGAGAGATAGAAAAGTTGTTTTGCCTTGTAGACATTGAAATTGGCAGCTTTAGTAAAATGTAGACATTGAATTTGAAAATGGCAGCATAAGAAATCACGATAAAAAGTTTTCTGGCGGAAAAGTGAGATTGCTGATTTTGTAGTTGTATGGGTTAAGTGAGATAACCGAGCGGTGAGGGACCCTGCTGTGGACTGCTTGCTTTAGAGACATGGGTTTCAAAAACTGTATGGGTTGTCTACCGCCCAAGTAGATGCTAAGGCAGAGGCTGATTGGATCTGGCAGTTTGCTTTTGTTGAGTTTTTCGGTATGAGTGTAATGGTGCATGCAGTCAAGCCTTTCATCGATTTAGAGACACCAGAACAGTTCTATTTAGCTTTGTGAAGTACTTGAAGTTTACGCTGAACTACACTTTATACACTGAAGTACTCATTGTGAAACCGAAGCAACTAAAAGAAAGCAGCTGAAAGCCCATGCCGGAACCAACTGGGATAACCTAAAGAAACAGTTCTGTGCAAGGGAAAAGCAAAAAACCCTTCGCAAAGAAAAATAATTAAATCGCTGACCCTCTCAGAGACAAAATCATCCTTCTGAATTCACATTGAGGACCATTTGACCCCCTTGAGTACATCGGTGAAGAAATCAAAACCCAAATCCACGAAGTTTTTTACGCATGACTTGTTCCGAACTACACTGAAATCGTCCCGAAACTATAAATACTCAATCAGTCACTATTCTCCCCAAGTAAGCTCCTACCCAGTCGAATGACCCGGCGCAGTCTCGCCAAATTACCCTCCGTCTATTCACTTTATTCAATTATTTTAACAGTTTTGACGCAAGTCACCAAACTGGTTGTTCGATAACACTGAACAAAGCAGTGATGTTCTCAATTAGGGTTTATTTGGAGTTCGATCAAAACGATGTATCGAGCTCTCTTGGAATGCTAAAAAGAACCCAATTGAGTCCTAAACTTCTCTTCCGAAAGGAATTGTAACACGCTCTTTTGCGGCGCGCGCTCCTTAAGGCACCTCAAGAAAAATTCTTGATAGATGGAAGAAGTCATCTCCATTTCCTCCCTTCATATCCGCCCTGACTCTATCGCAGATCTCTTACTCTTCAAAGACTCAGACACGGCCGGCTACATTCTTTGATCATGCGCATAATTTTTTCGAAGTGTTTTCTGTGTTTACTATAAACTAACGCGCTGGTTTTATCCTTTGCTGGTTAGACAGCTCAATTTTATCAATGCTTATTAGGATAATATTGGGAGAATCAGTTTTTTTCTTCAAAACGGCTGCCAGCTTTTCTTTTGATGTTACTGGCATTTCTGTCAAATTAGAATAAAATTAGTTTAAATAAGCGTCGCACCTGAGACATCACACAAATGGTAGTTTATAAGATACAAGAGTAGGCCTCTTTTGTCTTCTTCAGTTGTTTTTCCTGTATCAAAGAGAACAATTGGTATCGATTTGAAGACGGTAGCGATTCA